CAGTACTAGGAATGAATTAAAGTAATAAATGCAGCAAAATTGTGGCCGAATCAATAATGGAAATCTGGAATGGCATGGGGGGAATAATGGATTATAAGAACAACAATTATCATCTACACTTTGAAAATACACTATGAAGGCCGAACAGGGTGGGATTCTAAAAAAATCTGTGACTGGGAAATTTTAAAACAAAAGACCCAATCCCTCTCCAGTGCAGCTCCAGGGTTGAACTTTGCTCACAGCACGTAGGATGAAAGGGCCAGATTTATTGCTGCGTCTCCTGAGACCATCTGCAGAGAAGGCGCAGCCTGGAGGGCAGCAAAACCTGGCTTTACACCATTGCTGAACTACTCAGATTCCAGGACGCTGTCTTTGAGCTGGAGCAGCATAAAGGAGCTGGAGTAGGAAACAAGAAGTGTTTTGTGATCTGCAGCTGCAGTTAAACACTGTAGGTGCAGAGTGGTACTTTTGTATGAGGCAGATGTATATGTAGTGTTCTTAAAAGCAGGAATCTTCATTTAGCTCCATTCAGCTTCAATAACAAGCAAATAAGCCTTGAATTTTGAATACGTGGCTTGTGAATATTTCTATGCATCTTAATAAAGAAATAAATAATAAACAGGAAAGGATTTTTAAAATCTCTCTTGCAGCAATGAAAGAAATATCCTCCCTATTTTAAAGCACTGATGGCTTACAAGTGTCCTCTACAGGAAGAAAAGGCTTGACAGATATGAAAAGCCTCCTGCTACTGCAAAGAATTTTGCCTGTGCAGTTTCTTCACTGAGCACTTCCAAGAACAGAGCCTGGCAGATTGCAAGCAGGTAGTGGAAAGAGCATGAAGAAATTAAGATAGAAATTAAGGCAGGCGGTTTCCATCCCCCAACCAAAAAGATCCTGTGAGCAGGTTGTTAAATTGGCTTCTTTCTTTCTCATTTTTGAAAGGGCAGATCCATTTTCAGAAGTATTAATTAGGCAGCAGATACTGAAAAGCTAACTCAGCTGTCAGACAGCTTACTGCAAAGGAAATTCTTGACATAGGCACAGATGCAAGTTGCTTCAAGCAACACCCACTGTGTGTGGTTCAAAAAAACTCAAACTATTTTATAAGCAGACTAATTAAACAAATTGCATGTGAAATTGGGAAAGTTTTCTAATTACTTTTTCTTTTTCACTCTCTGGGAATGAGAAAATCATTTTCCACCCTGTAATTGGAACTAAATGCAACATTGCAATTGAAGATTTATCATACTTCAAAGACTGTTCAGACAGTGGGGTGGAAAAACAGTGCTGTTGGCATTATTTTGCTTGCTTCACTAATGTAATAGAGATCCTACCTTTAACCTAATAGAGGTGACAGAGTTGAATTTTCATTTGCAGTAGATAACTGCACATTCCTGGATGGTGCAAAGTGCACTTAATCCTACTGAAGTGAATAGGCCTCATTTTCAAGTATTTAATGTTAATGGGAGTTCTGCTTAAATATGGAGATCAGAGCTAGAGCCAATGAGGAAGAGATGTACTTATCATTACCCCGTGTGCTTGGCACTTTTGTTAGCAGATCTTTCTCGGTAACTACTGGACCTATACAGTATGGCTGTAGAGGGCACCATGCAGCAAAGGGCACAGCCTCTTCAACAATTTGTAAATCCATAGTCCTGAGTGCATCTGGCCATTTGAGATCCTGCAACACTTTCACAAGACTAGAAGTTCAAAAGTAGACTCTGCCAAAAGGACAAAATCAATTTTTTTGCAGCTTGACTGATTAGGTCAGAACAGTTACAATCTTAAAAGGAGAGCCCTACACATGTAGATGAATCGTACACACCACTGAATATAACTTATTTTAGGTACACTGGTGAAAAGTATAATTTTGTTTAATAAACCAAATGCTCCTATAGATACTGGCTAAGATAAAAGAGAGAGAGCAGTTCACAGTCAATTGCATAACAGGACTGCTTCCCTGCCAGTGCTGTATGTAATGAAGACAGGTGGTAGATAGTGGAGAACACGTAACAGAGAGCTCAGCCAAATTGTTGTGTAACACATCTCTGTCATGTTCCCTTTGTGTGGTCCCTATTGTTCACTACATGAATTTGCTTGAAAAGTTGAGAGGGCCAGAGCCTTCCCATGTGTGACTGCCGCAGCTCCACTGGCATCAATGAAGCTATTCTAACCTGCGCCGCACTCTCCTTGAATGTGAACTCTGAAGCAACGTCCAAGATGGTGTTTTGGGACTGATCCTGAGAGGTGCTCCGTACTCTGGTCCTGAGCTTGCACAGGGCCATGCAAGTAATGCTGCTGAACTGAATTTAAGCATCTGCATACACGCTTCATGGGATCAGGGCCAGTATTCTCATTACTTTGCAACGCCAATCTCTTATACTGTAACAATACTATTTACTTCTGTTTGTTCCTACATGTTTTAAACCCTACAAGCTTAATTTACCTGGCTCTATCCATAACACTTAGATTCTATTTTGCTTGGGTTACAGGTGATTTGATACAGAACAATTCACTACTGATTAAGAATAGGATGGTGTGAAGAATGGGTTTAACATCAAGCACAGTTTCTCTTTGCAGATGTACACAGAGTAATCAAGACATAATTCACATAGAACAATGAGCCTTCCCACTTAGCTTTTATAGAACAAGGAGCATGTACTAACTTTGCTTCCCTATGATTTGAAAAGTAGTGAAGTAAAAGCCATGAATCAAGCTGAAGTCACCAACATTAGATTGCACTGGTCTAGCCTTTACAAAGTATAAAAAGAAAAATCCAGATTTATAACCCTCTGTTTACAGTGATTATATATATATATATATATATCACTGTATGAACGAAAGACTAGCTGATGTGTTGACTTCCCTGGCTTTAATTAGGAAGATTCTGACCCAGGTCCATGAAGTTCTGTTTTTGCATCCATTTAGGCTAATCGATCATTACTGCTAGAAGTGTTGATTTCATGATGCTACAGTAGCTGACAGCCAAAAATTAAGTGCAGTGAATAGTGTTTGTGTAGGCAAAGGTTTTGTTAGATAGGATAAACATTTCACCCCAATATAAGAGAGATAAACTTTTAAAATTCAGGGCATAAACCATCCCCAGACTGGCTTCAACTCCATCAGTGAACTGGTACATTACTGTAAATCAAGTGTAGTAAGCAAACCAAAGCAGTTGTGGATAAAGGAGAACTGGCTGACAAAATCTGACACAAGAGACTATTAAAGAGATGAAATTCAGACACAGGGGATGAAAATCATTAAAGGCTTCCATATGAGAAGAGACTGAAAAGACAGGTACTGGTAAGTTTAGAGAGGAGAGAAATAAAAGAAGACATGAGACAGGTATACAGTCTGTCACTGAAGCTTAGTAAAATTAAAAAAAAGATTCCACATCTGCAATACAACTATTTTGAACTTTCATTGTCATATTAGATAGAATAAACATTTATTGGTGGAAGGAATATAAAGTCATGCTTCAGGGCAGAGGCCAGCCACTAAGTGATAGAAGGCAAGAAGAAACTTGCCTGCTGGCAGGTCACTTCATGACCAACTCTTCAGGGGTTTCTTCCACCTTCATCTTACACATTTGGTGCCTTATCATTTCCACAGATAAATCAGATGGACCAATGGTTTGATCTATGCTGGCAGTTTCAGTGAAACTTACTTTACACCAATGAAGACAAGAGCAAATTCTGATATGCCATTTAGGGCAGGACTTGAAGAAATAATGGGCTTCATCTGATTGAAATATGCTGGACTTTGTGAACAGTAGTTGGCATTTATTTTAGGTTTGGTAGATATTCTAATATCCTAGAGCAAGGACTGTCACTGGAAAGGAACTATTGTAAAAATATGGGTGACAATTGCAGTGGCATATGTCAAATTAGTGATGGGTGAAAGGAATGGAAGGTGATGGTCTGAGAGAGACATCAGGTGAAGACGAGCTCCTCTTGCTAAGCTGGTAAAGTGACTACAATTGAAATGCTCTTGAGATATGTCCCCCTGGACGTACTTGTGGGCTAAGAATTCTGTCTTCTAGAGAAGTCTTTGGATGACATCTCATTTGCCAGCCTAGACTGAAAATGTCAGCTTGTAGATTCTGAAAAAATCAGTGAACTGCAGGAGACTGGCATTAGAAATCATTTCTGTATTCTCAGATATGCTGAGCACCTGCAATTCCCACTGACTTCAGTGGGATTTGAGCATTCTCAAAACTCCTAAAAAGGATTCTTCCGATTCTATTTCCAATTAACATATAAAAATGATCACCACCCTTGGGAATCAGCTGAGTGGAGTTTTAGGACAAAAGGATTTGACGGTTTGGTCAAGACGTTTGTATGCTATATGCAGTGCTGTGTCATTCCCAACATGCCAGATTGTAATGTCAAAGGTGTCCCTCAAAGTTCACAAGTTCAGGATGTGTGCATTATTTTTGTACGTTAGTTTGTTTTATTTCACTGAGGTCCAGGGTCACACTGAAATATTAGCACACTTCTATTTTTTTTGTTTTTTTAATGTTGGAGTGACTCATTTGACATCTTCTCCAGACCGCCTACTTTTTTGTACATAGAAAGTGGAGCAGAGGCTACTTACAAAGTATAAAGAATTAAATTACAAGCTGTGTTACTGTATTTCAGTGGTGGATCCTTTAATAGCCTGATAACTGATTATTGTTTAAAACACATACAGTATATGACAAGTTAATTGGCTAAAATGGTGAGCTTGAGATCAACCCTAGAGCTTGAGATGACACGTTTTAGGAGCTGGCCCTAAATATGGGAGTAGACTCATCCAGAAAATTTAAAATGTGCTGGTTTTCTGCAGGCGTTTCATTGTTCTTCAATGACACCTGTGGAACTCCACTGATAGGTTTACATTTCAATTTCGTTCTTTTGTTCTATGAAAATTGTGTGGGAAACTTTCTCTATGATTCCTCTCTCAGTGGAACAGTCATACCAAGCTCAGACTAAGCACTAGGAGGCAGGTTATATACTTACATTAATAGGTTTCCTGGAGCAGACATGGACCTCTCCTCCCTTCTGCTCTGAAGCTCAAATGGGTTTCCAAACGAGCGTTTCCTTAACATGGCCTTCACTAAAATCTTTGAAAAAGAAAAACACGTTAACAAAGACCATGGCATTGAGCTATCACTGTCTTTATACTGGTGCCCTAAGTACTGTATTAGAAGTAACAAGGGCTTCTTTAATCATCCAAAGAACTTCTTGCAATAATCCAGTTAAGACATGGCATAGAGCAGGGGTAGGCAACTCCCGGCATGCATGCTAGAGTGTGGCACGCAAAGGCATTCTGCTTGGCATGTGTGCTTTGGGGCAGATGGCAAGACAGCCACGAGAGGCCTGATCCTTGTTCTGGCAGGGTAGCCCCAGGTCCTTCCCTGACATTCACCTCAAGGCACGAGTGCACCTGTTGCTGCTAACAAGTGAGGCCAGGGCTCCACAGGCCCTGGTGCAGCTGTTTGCAGCCTCTCCGCTGCCTGCTTGTGTGCAACCCAGGCTCTGTGGCAGGCAGTAGGGCCCTGCCCAGAGGCCAGGCCAGCTGTGGCAGGCAGCTGAGAAGCTGCAAGCAGATGCACCAAGGTCCGTGGAGCCCCAGCCTGGCTTGTTGCTGGCAGCAGGTGTACGCATGCCTTGGGGCTGGTGGTGGGGAAGGGACTGTGCTGCTGCAACAAGGATCAGGCCCCTCACTGCTCCCTTGTGACCTGCCCCTAGCATGCCAACATCTTACAAGTTGAGGTTGTGGGTGTTTTCGTCACTCTGCCCAAAAACGTTGCCACCTCCTAACCTAGAGCAGGGCCGTCCAGCTGGTGGCTGGCAGGAAACATGCGGGTTAAGTTGAAGCCCCTGGGCTCCTCCCTGGCTGCTGTTCCACCCACTGCTCCAGCTGAAGTCTCTGGGCTCCCCCTCCCTCCTCCAACTGCTGCTTCTAGCTTCTGCCTTAGGGGCTGGGGCAGTGCAGCTTGCTGCACAGGGAGCTGAAGGAGTCTGGGGCTGCATGTGGGGGAGGGGAAGAGGGGGAAAATCAGGGATGCAAAGAGGAATCATGCCTGTGCAAAACAGCAGTGGCAGGGGGGGCGGGGGGGGAGGAGGGTGCCTGTGCCTGTGATGGAGGGGGCGAGGGGCATGCAGTGCAGCAGTGGCAGGACTCCTAGTGCAGCAGTGAAGGGGGTGGGGGTTGTCTACATGGGCACATGGTGCAGTGGGTGAAGCGTCTAAGAAGCCCAGTGACCCAAGCCTCGCTTGGTGTGGCCTGTGTAGCATGCAGCTTCTGCTGGCGCAGGCCCCAAAGTGTGTGACCCATGGGCCTTAGAAGCTGGACAGCCTTGAACTAGAGGGATCTCCATAAAAGCCCTTTGGTTTCTATTCAGCATAAGCATTGACTTTCTGGCTAGCCAGTTTAAACCTCTGCATGCAAAGCATTATTAGAAAAAAGTTTAGTGAATATCTTTAGCAATTTGAGACTGATGGGGACGGGCCACAACTACTCTACTTGCCAGATCCCAGGACCAGAAGCCAGTTCTATTTCCAGCTCTGACACCAACTCCCTCTGTGACCTTTTAACCTACTAGGGAATATCTACAACTGGTTTTAATTAGTTTAGCTTCACTGAATGCTGTCGAGCTGTGTTGATTTATACAAAGTGGTCTCTCCATTCCCTTTTCCCCCCTTCTGTAGAATGAGAAGGGCATTCTTCTCTTATCTATTCCACAAGGCTAGTGATAAAACCATTGTCAAATCCCCAGTTTTATCACTAGTTATATAAGTATGTATGTATGTATACACACACACACACACACACACAGAGGGTTTAGCTCGTCTGTCTGTCCATAACGCTCTTGGAGCACTCTGATTGCTTGTCTTAGCAGGCAATCACAAAGCTTACTGAAACAGCCAGAGTGCTACGTGGAGTGCCATTATGACAGTGGGGATGGAGCGGATGGAGCAGCCTCCCCTCCCGGCCCTGCTCCTTGGAGGCAGTGGTGGTGCGGGATGCTGCCGGAGGGGATGGTCGGGCAAGCTCCCCCCGCCTCCCCTGGGAGGCAGCAAAGTTGCAGGGTGGTAGGGCAATTCACCAGTCCTAAGTAAAGTCAGGGAAAGAGCTGCACTGCCCCAGCTGCTGCAGCGTGGGCAAGGAATTGTTACTCATTCA